TTTTTTTTCAATTGAAACAATTTTCTTCGTGTCTTATAAAGTATAGGATAATTGCTTAATCATTTAGCTAAAATATTATACGTTTACTATTATAAATATTTTAAGAAAGTAAAGCTGCGTTCGATGCACATCGAAATGGCACGTTCAATTATTAATGTCGAATTCACCGTGAATTTAATTTCTGTAAAGCGGAAAATAATAATGATGTTCTGCAATAAAATTATTTGCCGATTGCTTTATAAGATTTTTAATTTTGCGCGGCTTTTATTCCTGCTGCGAAAATAATTCTCTTTTTCTATCGTGCTGCAATTTTCATCGCATCTCGTATAAAAAAAAAACGTGTAGAACAATTCGCAAATTTCATTTCTAATTAATATATATTCAACTGACACTCCCCTTTTCCTATACAAAGCCCATCCGGCCACTCGCAAGCGACTTAATTAAGAGCCGTGCCCTACATACGCGGTAATATATTGTCAAATATCTAACAATATCGCTATGATTCGGGAATCCTGAATACAAATTCAAGATTCACGGAATTGGCACAACCGCGGCAGTTTGCGCGCGAACACAAACTAATGATAATATTATTCAGCCGTGAGTTACCGAACGGAATTCGCCAATCAATGCCCTCGTATAAGTTCTCAAATCGGATAATCCCGGAGACTGAGCCACTCGTAATGAATCTGATCGATTGAATCGGGAGGAGGAGAGGTAGAGGAGAGGGGGCATCCGCATACGAGGGACACATATCGAAGATGAACCCGAAGCGCGCCGCTAAAGCAATTTAGCCGCGGATTCCAAACCGCATGGCAGCGGCATCGCGAATGGAAAGTTTGGAATGGAATTCGCAGGACCTCGCAGTTCTCTGAATTTTGGCGGCAATTAAGACTGATGTTCAATGAACGATCCCCGAACGGCGGACAGAGGAGCTTGCGAGAGAGGCTGAAAATTAGATCGGACGGGCGGGTGGGATGGGGATGATAGGAACGATGTATCGTGACATTTACGTTGTAATGCGCGACAATTCCATAAATCGGATACATTTGAACGTAACATATAACATTGACACGCACGAAAATTGCAATATCGATAAAATTCCTCCCGTTGCGTACTTCAGTCGCTCAGAGGCAAACAGCACGCGTTGTATCGAAATTTCCAATGTAATTCTAACAATTAAAATTTTGAATAAATCCAAATGTATCCTTCTCGGATCGGGAATAAATCATTCTTGCGATTTTTTATTCATTTCACCAGTGGATTGATGCATCTATCTACATCGTATTTGATAACATTTTGATGACACCTCTGGAATGTAACCTCGAGTTTAGCAAGCACGAGAAATCGATTTGAAAAGCGTTGGCGAAAATAACAAAGTCGAAATACAGTTCTGCAAATTCTACTCTGAATTTTCAAGGAGAAATGTTGGGAGCTTTCTGGCGCAAGGTAAAATCGTTCTGGTAGTATTAACTTACACCGACGAAAGTACTCATGAAATTACTACTAAATTCATAAACTATTAAAAGAGCGTAGAAATTTAACTCGTGCAGTTTATATAAAAGAGAGATTAGTGCTGAGATTCCAGCGCTATTTGTTAAGAAATTTAATAAGTTTAGCGGTAAGCAAACTTTCGACGCAGGCAAATTTAAATATGAGTTGGAAATTTTATATCTTTTCTCGTAAATAATACGCGATCTTTTCATCTAGGTGTCCATAAAAACGATCCCGTATTCATTTAAGAAAGCGAGAGTACTGCCGGAAGAGTCCGAGAATTTTATCAAAGGAAAGTCTCAATGGAGCGAGATTCGCGAGATGAATATTTTGCTTGGACTCCCGACATTTTTATCAAATGAAAAATTGCAAATAATTCGTGTATTAAATCAGCCTCTGAAGATTCCGAGAAGATTATTGACATTATATGTTGCTCCAAATCCCACGCTCTTGCATAATTTTAATATCGGAAGGAGCGATTCCGCACCAAATGATTGCCTACTTTTGCAAAGTAACATTGACCGAGAGACAATAATGCGACTCAAACAATGGAAGAGTACCCAATCTAGCTGTGAAAAAGATGGCGTTCCGAAAAAATGTCGAGGATGCATCGAGGATCATCGACAATCCGCAGAATTTTGCGCGAAAAGGACATCTAAAAAACACGAAAGCAAGCATAGTTGTCAAGAAATGTCCGCGAAAAGCCGCCAAGAGTCTTGCGGCGACTTATTGAATCATCAACAATACTATCGGTCGATTGAATCCAGTTCCCCGATCTACTCCGACAAACCTGTACCGTACAACGATCGACAAGAATGCGATTCAATGAAGCGTGATTCCCATAAATCGACTGTAATAATGCGTGAGACCTGGGCTCGCGGAAAACTGGCAACGGAAAGAAAGATTTATGACAAATGCAAGCAAAAGTCATGTGCTTATCCAAAGATCCGCGACGAAGCAATACGTTGTCCATCAGACACACCACGAGATTGTAACGAAGAAAAATTAGAAAAAATAACAATAGACAAGGCAAAGAGAACTGCTCAAGATTCAAAACAATGTTCTAAACCTTCATTTTCTGAAGAAATTTGTACATCGAATAAGAAAACAACTCCTATGAAAAATAAAATGTCAAAAGCGTGTTCGGTATCAGATACTAACGAGCAGATAAAACCCGATCCTCCGCCTCCGAGATATCAACATTGGAGCGAGAATCCGCCATCTTATTGCGATCGTTGCTCAAACAAGGTTCGTACTGTGAAGGCCACTGTGAAATCTTCACCGATGATTTTTGTTCCTCGGAAGGAGCCGTGGAAGTTTTGGACGAGAGGTTCCACGTCATCTCTTCAAGATATTCATGAGGATCGTAGGAAGAGTACTAGTAAAAATGGATGCGACAGAACGAGAACAACGTCGAAGAGTGTATCGGAAAAGCATATACCGCGTCGTGTGATCTCCTCTGAAAATAAATCCGCTGCTTCGTTCCCAGCGTTTGTTAACAGGACGAAGCGAAGAGTCGTCCAGCGATTTCCGACGTTGACGAGGAACGGACGTTGTCGCGTCGAGAAATCCTCGGAAAAAGACCTCGCTACGCCAGACGTCAGCGATTGCAGTCCTAGCATGGCAAGCTTCAAGTATCGGTTGAGCAAGTGTCCCTCCATCAAGGAGATGTGGAGTATCGGCGTCAATCACGAATCGTCCGATACTGATGTCCACTCGTCCCCGAGGCAAGAAGCTCCTTTGTCCGTCTGTGAGAAAATCGAAAGACGGGAATTTCGGCCGCAGGAAAAACAGGGGAGGAAGAAAAAGAGATTCGAGTCGTCCGGCGAATGGACCCGACAGAGATACAAGATTCGCTTGAAGATATTCCAGAAGGGAAATGGCCGTCTCGATCCTTGTCTTCCGCGGATCGTCGAGCTGCGACAACCGCGCGATGGAAAAGCGCGATCGATCCTATCGAAGATGTTCGGGCTCGCTGCCGAAGAAGGCGAATTTCCTCCGCGATTGAAGAGCCCGGATCGTCCGCCCGATTATTGTCCACCTAAGTGGCCGGTCGAGAACAAAAGTTACCCGACGAAGATGGACGAGAGCAGAGTGGTTCGCGGCCAAAACCTGGGAAAGCGTTCGTGCAAAAAGCGCTAAGCATCTCTAAAAGACTGCTTTAATGTTCCGGAGTTAGCATGGGTTCAGTCGGCATTGACTGTATATCTAAAACTCGCATTATTCGCACACATTTTGTATTTCTTATTGAAGTACAGACTTTAATATGATAAGTATCTGAAAATAATTTTGAATTTCAATACATAATAAACTGTAATAAATATTTTTTTTCTTAAATATTTTTTTTATGCCAGTAATTTCCAGTAAATCTATAAAAATGATAGAACTGCTGTTATAGTTCTGTCTGGACAAGCATTTAATCCCGCTAAAAGGACGAGAACATTAAGATTCTCTGCAATGGAATTTGCAAAGTAGCCGTTCAATTTATTCTGCCTTGTTTATATTAATAAAAAGTAGCGTAATGGTTTCTTCGTAAGTAAAATATATACACGACATCCAAAGGTAACATAAAAGTGTAGGAAGAGAGGCGCGGAAATGAAAAAATACAACTCGGGTAGCCCGAGACGGCTGCAAAAGAGGTCCGCTCGTAGCAGCTGGCCTCCAACTTTTCACGTTTATCATTATCTCACCCTCTCGTCGTATACCCTTATTTTTGTACCCGGTGGAACAAACTTGCGCATCAAACGCCGTTGTTTTATGACCGGTATACATTTTCATTTCTGTCGGAGGATGATATATTTCGCAGCCCTAATAAACGCGACTCAGAATTTAGCAAGCATTTATCTTGTCTACATCGCACGGAAATAATGGGAAAAAAATGAAAATGCAAATTCGCATTAATCCAATTCCGATAATTAATGCAGAATCATGGGAGATTTTACATTATCCGAAAATATATTTATCTCTATGATGTTTTCTCGATCTCTAATCTTGTCATATATCATTGCATATAAAATTCAGTTATGATTATTTTACGTTTTTATAATATATATTTTTATAATATAACTTTATAATCAAATACATGCGTTGCATACATTTTTCTCGAGTGAAAATTTCATTTATATTTCATTTATATTTAATAGTGTTTATATATTTAATAGATTTATATATTTAAAAGTTTTTTTCTCCTACGTTCATCTAATGAGCTTGTAAAACATACAAGCAAATCGAGATACATCGTTCCAATGACTCCAAAATTGCTCCCCATTTAAAGATACTCGCATTCGTTTTTTTTCTTCTTCATTGAAATTGCGAACAATTAAGGAACACGGTAAAATAGCGGACGAATCGATCGCTACCGGTAATGCTCACGATCGTTAACTCCTAATTGAATGCCGATGAATAACCGGCTTTCTTAGCCCCGTTCGTTTCGTCTAACGGACTCGAAATAATGAAAATCGCGGCGATGTTTTCACGGTATTCATACAGAACAATTCGCATTGTTACAGATAAACGATGATTGGTTTCACATGGAGCATCGATCCGTGGCGAAGAGATCGACAGAGCCGCATCTCGAAGTGCATCAGAGGCTAATGAAAGACTACAGAGTACACCGAGCCGAGCAGCAGCGGGCGAAATCGCGTACCAAAAGAGATCTTATAATCAAACGTCCGTCCAATATACTATCGATGCTAAATGACGAAAGGTGGCCTCAAATGTGGTATCTGGTAAGCAATTTATTAGCAATTTTTTTACAATCACAAACATTTTTAAAATTTTACGTTATTTTATAAATGATAAGGTTAATACGTTTTATTGCATAGATAAATAAATGTACGCAATTTTGCATAATTGAATTATTAAAAATATGATATGAGAAATTTAGTAAGTAATATGTATTTTTTAAATATCTAATTTTATAATTATGTAGGAAAAAAGTGCATTATATGGATAATATTTCTCAATTGAAAGACTTACATTTAATTTAGCTATAATTTAGCTAAATATAAATATTATAATAAATAAATATTATATAAATATTATATAAATTCTAATAAATATTATATAAATTCTTCTGCTATCATCGATATTAAAATATTTATATTTATATACATTTTCTAATACGACTTCTTCGAAAGAATTATATAATGTAATCAACGCGAACAATACAAAATAAATTAGCTCGATCAATTTAGAAAAAGCGTTGACATTTATATCGTAGATAAAGCTTTTTATTGCCTGTCGAAAGTATTGGATATTTTTTTTTTTAGAATAGGGGGAAGGGATTGGATATGAACGTGCAGGGTGCTTGGGCCGAAGGAATTACTGGAAATGGCGTCGTGGTCACAATTCTCGACGACGGATTAGAAAAAGATCATCCAGATCTTTTTAAAAATTATGTGAGTATCTTAGTCTATATGTATGTCTCTTGTCTATATTAATATGTTTTTAAAATTAATTGACTTCTCGATTTAGATAAAACTTATTACCAGGATAAAATAATGAAATAATCATATTTTTAATATTAAAAGATGATGTGTGTGTATGTGTGTTATACGCGATTGCATTTCACACTCAGCTTCTATTTATAAAATATTGCAAACTAAAGAATTTACATTTGAGTAAATCGCATTTTGTAATTTTTCACGGCAGTTACAGTAATTTCATATAAAGTAATTTTCTCTCTGATTGAATTTTCGTAAATATGCAAAAAAACGCAAGCGCTTAATATTTGCCTAATATCATGGAATATACATCAGTCCAATACATTTTATATTCACTGAGGCAAAATGTGAAAAAAAAAACTCCGGCGAAATATTCAATAAAGTGCGACAGATGAAGGCATGAAGCATTGCGAATATTGGTTATATGGGAGTACAAACATTAGAAGGGATATGCATGTGTATGACGAGTAACTATTGATTCGCGGATGATTACATTGAATGAGAGATATCTGTACACGCAATAGAAAGTGAATCGCATTAATCAGCCAGTAAACACATACGCTGCGATGCTGCGCCTTAATGCGCTGCTCTGATTACGCAAATTTATATGTATGTTCCTTCATACTTGTATTTCTCATTATGCAGCATGCAAACAAATGCGTTTATACTGACAATGAGAAAAAATTTCCAAATTCAAAAATATTCATGATTAAATATTACACCTGCAATAAAACTTCTTACGTAAGGAGGAAAAATTATATTATTGCTTGCAAAAATTGTAATTAATAATTTTCTATTTTCTTATAAATATTTTTCTTTACTCTAGAAAAAAATCTAATTTCTTCAGATAAATTTCTTTCAAAACCTTTCTGTGCAAGCAATTTATTATATATCACATGTATTTTTATCATTACTTGTTCTTGTCATGATTATTTCAAGTAAATCTTTTATCTGCGAGTTCTGATTTTTATTAAAATAGAAACGGAATAATGCAAATGATATTCGCTGTGAAATGCATAAATTTTAATTATCCCTGACGATTTCCGTTGCAGGATCCACAAGCGAGTTACGACGTCAACAGTCACGATGAGGATCCGATGCCAAGGTATGATCTGGTAGATAGCAATCGACACGGTACCAGATGCGCTGGAGAGGTCGCAGCCACTGCCAACAATTCTCTCTGTGCCGTAGGTGTTGCTTTTGGAGCTGGCGTGGGTGGTGAGTATCCTGAAAAACATCACTTAATATTTATAATATTATAATTATATTATAATATAATGCACTGGGAATTAAAAGGACTTTTTGTACATTATGTAAAATTTTCTACATATGTATAACTTGAAATGTGAACTTGAATTATGAGAGTTTAATGATTACGATATATTCTACAATGTTTGAGATTGCATTGCGGAAATAATATAAAAATTTAATTATTATTTTATATATATAATTTTGAAATAAGATCAGAATAAAATAGCAACAAATTTATAGAAAAGGAGAAGAATAAGGAAGGAAAATATTTAAATGTTGACTCGTTAGAAATGACAGTTTCATTTCTCTCTCTCTCTCTCTCTCTCTCTCTCTCTCTCTCTCTCTCTCTCTCTCTCAACAGAGCAATTATTTAAATCCCACACTTCCATTTTCAATTAGCAATAGCGAAGTTGGTGTTGAAATTCGAAATGCGTTATTACGAACGACATGCGCCAGTAATATGCAAAATTGATATTGCGAGATGGCATCATTTTCGAATTAGAATCGGGATTGGCAATAGTCTGTTACGTGTGTTACATTCGGGACCGATCTAAATCGGTGCACGATGCCCAATTCCGATCTTGTAAATTGGATCTTCCGTTTCGCATGCCGCGGGAATTGTGCGGGATAATTAACACAAACGTGAAATGCATGCATGTTAATCATGCGGAGATTCTTGATACACATACATGTATATATATTGAATATTCTTAGACACTAGGGTTGACAATTTTCATATAAATTGACAATATGCATGTGCAAAATTCATTTTTTATGTCAAAAAATCAATACTGTCATTGTACTATCATATAATGTCGCCTCTTAATTTCTCGTAATTCTATTTTCGTGCGCAGGTGTTCGAATGTTAGACGGCGACGTGACGGATGCCGTTGAAGCAAGGTCCCTGAGCCTAAATCCCCAACACATCGATATTTATAGCGCGTCATGGGGACCGGATGACGATGGCAAAACTGTGGATGGTCCCGGCGAATTGGCCACCAGAGCTTTCATCGAGGGAATTACCAAAGTGAGTGTTCACCACTGGAAATTCTATTTTTATTTTTTTCGCGGATTTATTTGACCACAAATGAATTAAATCCAAATGTTTTTTTTTCTAAATTAATTATTTTTTAGTATAACTCTATTACATTTTTTAAATCGTGAAATACGAAAATCGAATAAAATGGATTGTTTATTTTACTTTTGGCAAGCGAGTCAAAGTATTTCTCATAAAAAAAAATAGTTTCATTCGCGGAAGATTTACTCAAGATGTCTCGCAAATTGATCCAAATTAAACACTATTTGCCTAATTGAAAAATCAAGGATTCTTCTACATAATAATATAAAAATAATATGTAATTACGTATAATAATAATCTTAATTACCATATCTTTTACGTCTTTGACGATCTGAAAAGAAGCCGTACGTCTATCTCAGAGCTTCAAACTTCGATGTAGTAGCGTAATCCACTTAGGACTGCAATTTTCTTCGCTATAATTTCCCGCGTTATGACAAGGTAAATGCAATTAGCCGCAAGGTATCCCTGTACGAAACGGAAGCTTCTTGGTTGCTTCAAGACGCTTCCTTAACTCTCAAACATCAAGCTGCAGGGAATTTTCAAGCTTGATATTACAACACTTATGTTCTGTTAATGCATTGCAGACAAACAAAAATATTAGTTGTATAAATTTCGAATCAAATATTCGAAATACTATGAAAAACTCTCTTCTATCGATTAAGAGGGATATTCGAGGATTTTTAATTGAAAATTTTAATCGAAGATTCTCTTCGAAACTTTCGGAAGATTGATACAAGTGCGAAAATATATCAAACGCCGATCGATGAACTATCTAATGCGACGTTGCAGTATTGAAATGCCGAAGCGAGAAATTGTTCGCACGTAACTGAAGATCATTACGTTCTGATCTTCCATGATTTTTCTACGAATCGAAATTCCTCGGGAATTATTCTCGAATTACTCTCATCGGTTGAAATCTTTGTTCGAGAGTAAAAAAGGAATTTAACAGCTCTCGTGATTGGAGTTAACCAACTCCTGAGTTCAATTATCGTCCTCCTAATTTCTTATATCTCGCGCCAAAGGAATACGTTTAACTTGTTAATGGTTTTCCTTGTAGAACCAAACAAGTCGGAGAAGAAGTTGTTTTAAGCACTGTAAGCTCCGTTATTATTTCTTCGAAACTCATTCAATGGGTGCGAATATTCATTTTACAATTTACAAGATAATTATAAGGATTTATTCAATAATTTTATATAATTCCAATAATATCCTCGATATATATATTTTTTATCTATATTTTTTCTCTTAAAGGATATTTTATGATTAGAACGTCAAATTTTTATAAATAATTACATATAAATAATTAATATCTTACAAATACTTGTATTAAAATTATATTTATATTTTATTCTATTCATATTTATATTTTATCTTTTGAATTATTTAGAAATATAGTTTTATAAAAATAAGAATTCTCGTCCAACTCTAATATCAATTATGGTGGCGTTATAGAAGTGAAAATAGCATTAGAAAATATATTATTATTCAGATGCAAATATTTTATTGCTCTTCTTCGAATCTCATTTGCTGCGAGAAAGAAAAATTCATCTGTTCGTTATTAATGCAATTCGTGCTCGAACAGCCGCGTCGCAAAACGAAATGAAATTCGCACAAATGTATCACGCAGAAGCATTTTCCGAGATCTTCCGAGAGTTTCAGTGGCGACAATGGCCATTGTCATCTCGATGTGTACGCCTTGTGCAGACGCGGCTCTTCGATCGCGTTCGCGGCATCCCTTTATCGCGATCCTAAAACGGTGAACTTTAGCATTGAGAGACCCTCTACTTCAAGTAACGATCATTAAAGTGCAGACATCTAGCATTTAAGATGAGCCATCAAGAACTGTTGAGAAACTCCGGTAAAGATCCTCGGTACTGTCCATTTCTGTTATCCGTGTGAACCGAGTGACCTATTTCGCGATAGCTTCCCGTTGCATAGTTGCCAGTAATTTGAAATACTGAGAGTTTTAATTAGAGTTTTTTTATGATTAAATGCTGTTTTACACTGCAAAACTTGTTGAAATAGCCTCGGATGATAATTGCTTCAAAATATCATTAATTTTATCTTATTCAAGTCACATGAATAATCAGTACTGGCTCATTAGGGCCACCTAATTTCAGTTAAACTTGGCAAAAATATGTGATCTATATACAATCTGTGAGACAATGAAAAGAAAAATGAAAAGAACTAAATTAATATATAGAAAAGATATAATAATATAATATTATATTAATATCATCTGCATTATCATTTGATTGATCACACCTTGACTCCCCGTAAACGATTGACTTCTTTCGACGACGGCATCGCAGGCGTCGACAGAACGATGACAGACGTAATTCAATTAGCAACGGCGACGAAGAACTCCTGCAGCTAGACCTGGTTTAATAGACTCGCTCTCGGCGAGAGAGGTCAGCCTTCAGAAAGTTTCTAATTGGGTGCTTTTAAGCGACTGGCCGACTCGAGCCGCGTTAGAACGTATTACCATTTTAAACTTGCTGCCAGCGACGGCGACGTGACCGTAAAATATATGCAAATGTCAATATGGTCGATGCAAAACTAGTTGAAATATATGGCAACTGGTGAAACATATCGAGGAAATGGTCACACATAGGTGCATTCACCAAAATTTACAAAAGAGCGTAATAGTCTCTTCTAAAAGATAAGCCATGTATTGCGTAAATTTGCATTTGTATACTGTAAAGCAAATAACGCGAAAATGCAAACAGAAAAGATAAAATATATAAAAATAGAAAATTATTTTAATTAAATATATATATATATGAAATTATATTAATTAAAGATAATGGAGGAAAATTTTTCCTGAATTTAAAAAACTTCATAAACTGATATACATATAAAAGACAAACTTTTAAAATAAAATCATAAAATCGTAAAACTTTAAAGCATATAAGTTACAACTATATAGCGTTTTCTTATAAAAACGTAACTACAGTAATATTTCTGCATATTATAAGAGTTATATCTGGTGAATATTCATAAATGGGATCAACGAGTAATGAAATGAGCAATACTTCAAATTCTTTCCCGGCAGCAATATTAAACATCTGTGATATTAAATGGCTGTCATTCCGTCAAGATTGCTTTCGTGATCTCTTTTCAAATATTCCATACAATAAGATACGATGTTGATATCTGTATTCTCAGGAATCGATTTTTATTGTTCGCGATTTTTTATTACTCACGATCTTTACTATACGTGAACTAAATTGCCTTTTTAAAGTTAGAACCGAGATTATTATAAAAAATTGCCATTTCACTGATTTAATTTTCAAAAATATTCTTTTATATTTTTTATTTAAATTTCTATTAATTTAATAGAGATATTTATAATTTTTATTATATTACTTAAATAAAGTTACATAACATGATATTTGCATATTTATTAAAAATATATTTTCCTAAATAGAATTTTTATTTTTAGAAAGATCAAAATAAACATCTGTTTTCTAATATACCAATAATATTGGATGTAGCGCTTAGAAATAAAATTATTAGCACAATTTAAAAAAAAATTGCGGAATATTATCCTTTATAGTTTTTCCTTTATATAGTTTTACATTATATAGTTCAATGTATTATTATATCATTAAAGCAGCGAGAATACAAATGATACTGATTATGATATCGAGCTACTATGTTACTCCGGCAGCAGCTTGGTCTCGTGCACAGTTGCGCAGTAGGTATTTAATGCAATGACAATTCCCCTTGTAACTGTATTAGATTATACACTATCTTATATTCGACATATAGATGAATACATTCTCTCTAGAGCCTGTTAACAGGTTCGATAATATTACCCTTGGGCCAATGGAACCGTAACTAACTACAGGTTTCATATGTAGTCGATGGAATCGCAAGAAACATGCACGTTATACAGTTTATGCCAAGCTGAATTAATTCGTCTTCTTGACACTTCTTGACGTTTTTCCTTTCCTTCGCTGTTTGTAGAATAATTTTGCTATTAATTAATTCTCAAATCAAATAAAATAATGGCTTTTAATTTCCAAATAAACAAAATCGAGCAATAAATATATTTATCGCTTTAATTTTTAAGTTGTATTATTTATATGTTATTATTTTATATTAATTTTATATACATATATATATTATTCGATCACATTAAAAAGAATTTTTTTTAGATATAATAAAAATATTCCTAAGAAACATGAATTCATCGTAAAATGTAAGACATAATGTATAGTTAATTAATGATTATAAATCGCATCTAAGATGTCTAATGCAGCCGAGTCGATGCCTTATCACTTTACAATTAAATAGCCTTTCTGATCAAAGGCTCAAGCACTATATTACTGAATTAGTTAACGTCGAGTCTCAAAGAGAGTTCGGAGTTCGTGGTCACGCCTACACGTTACCTAAAGCACACTGCGTCTGGTCTTATCATGAGATAGTTGGACCTCCAGCCCCAATATTATATAGAGAGTACCTGTAATCTTAGAGTAACTCTAAACAACATATGCTCCAAAATATTTGTAAAGGGAAAATTTGCAGTTTAACAATAAAATTTACATATGACGTGATACTTTTATTTAAGAATATTCATCGAGAAAGAATTTGCCTATTATTAATGTTTTTTATATAATTATTGTTTTCAATGATTAATTCGGTTGCTTTTTGAAAAATTTCTCAAAAAAATTCCTTTTAAAGTGTTACATGATTCATAAATCATGCATGAATACTTTGATGAAAATCAGAAATTCAATTTTCAACGAACAAAATTTTCCTTTTAATCTTCAAACAAGAGCATATATATAGTGTTGGAAACTTTTTTGTTATAAGAGCTCGAGATAATTCAGTCTTGACCCTACGGAGATCATTAGTGCTAAACATGCAATCTCATCGACTTCCTAATAACGGTTTTGTTCCGAATCATCTACTGTGTGTCTACGGGCGCAGAGAAAACGGCTTTAGCATGCAAAGTGTCTTAAACTTCTAAAGCGCCTTAAGCGTTTCGAGCATCTCAAACCCAAGTGCTAGTAAAAAAAATTCGACCACATCTAAAGTACCCAAAGTATCAAACTTGTCAGATTTATTTTAGCTCGCAGTTGAATACGCTCGTTAAATCGCTGTTTCAATTCCGCGATTTAAAATTACCCGACCTCTTTTCCTTTTTTTTAGATTTTTATAGAAATCTAAATATTTTGATATAAAAATATCAAGTTATTAAGTTTGATAGTCTACTTCGCACGGATTAAAAAGCTTTTAATCAACCCTTGAAGGGTCGCAATGGTAAAGGTTCTATCTTCGTATGGGCATCCGGAAACGGTGGTCGAGATCATGACAATTGCAACTGTGACGGCTACACCAACAGCATTTGGACTCTGTCCATCAGCAGCGCGACCGAAAACGGCCTTGTGCCCTGGTATAGCGAGGCGTGCTCGTCCACTCTCGCTACCACTTACAGTTCGGGCTCTAACGGCGAGAAGCAGGTCGTCACTACGGATTTGCATCATCATTGTACGAGCAGCCACACGGGCACGTCCGCGTCGGCGCCATTGGCGGCCGGTATTTGCGCCCTTGCCTTAGAAGCGAATAGAGATCTCACCTGGAGGGACATGCAACACATCGTGGTCAGAACTGCCAAACCTGCGAACTTGCAGGCACCTGATTGGGCGCTTAACGGTGTCGGTAGAAACGGTGAGTACCGATGTCGATGGAGAAAGAATTTTTCAAAACCCCAAAAGAGAAATTCTGAGAATCATTAGTAAAATTCCATGATGATGCACAAAGAGAATTGAATCATCACCTCAATTTATTGAAGAAAGAAAATTTAGAAATAATGTAATTGATAAATATTTATATTAATTTTCTATAAAAATACTTTAATCTATTTAGAATCAACCTACTTGATAAATCAATAATTATATATATATATATATATATGTATATATATATATATATATATCTACTTGATAGAACTAATTGAAATAAAAAATCATTTAACAATCGGGGTCGCATTTTATGTCTGACAGTGAGCCATAGCTTCGGTTACGGACTGATGGACGCCACTGCCATGGTACGCTTAGCGAGAAGATGGAGAACCGTTCCAGAGCAACACAAATGCGAAGTATCAGCGCCACACACAGGCAGGTAAGTGCTCGTAAATTGCATTGTTAAATAAATGAGAGCAATTTCAAAATCAGTGTGTCTTATTCCAAGTATCGATCGAGTTATTAGGGAAAGATGTGACAATTGTACAGAAAATTATTAAGCTTGAAAGAGCAAAATATTCGGAATAAAATGTGGAGAATCAATTCGACTGTATAGATAACTACCTGTCTTTAAAGGAGCAAATATGCTTTTCATGGATTACAAATTCGTTCGAGCATTTCAGCTGTCGTTAAATGGATTTTATTCGCCTGAAATTGCACGTTTGAATCACGTGTAATACATCACTTAACTCTACTATTGAGGGTTGTAACGAGTGAAGGCAGATAATATTTTGTATTAAATGGACATAATTTATATAATTTATAATTTCAAAATTAAATTTCTGTAAAATAATGAAGCATAAAAGTTTTTTATACTCAATTTTATGTATGATAATTTTATGTACAATAATTCGTTTCAAAGGAATTAATTACTTTAAAACGATCTAATATTCATTCATATTTTAAATTAATAAAAGAGACTGAAATAAAATAAGTTATTTGAAAAGTAAAGATGTTATAGTAGTATTTATAATTATCTTAAGATTTTTGTTTAAAAATGTTTTAATTATTTAATTTATATATAAATATTTTTACTTGTATAAAATAACATAAATGATATAATTTTATCATAAGTTCAATGTTGACATATTAAGAATAAAAATGATCTTCTTTCTATTTAATTTATTGTTACTGAAATAAAATCGTGCTAAAAGCACATTCGAGAAAAGGCAAAAATAACGCTTGACCGAGTTATTCGAACGATAAAATCGGCAATAATGTATTTATAAAAATGTATTCATGTAAAAATGTACTTGCGAAGAATTTTGTGAAGCACGAGCTTAATACTCGACCTGAATTTCGTTTATTTTCTAGGACAATACCGCCGAAGAGCCAATTGGTCCTCGACTTACATGTCAAGGAGTGCAGCGGTGTTAATTTCCTCGAGCACGTTCAGGTAAGTTGAGCATGTCACTCAGCAAATGATATCGCTAATTAACGGATTTCAAGTCGGCTATAAAGTACAATCTCGAATAATCATTTGGAGAAATTAATATTTTTTTTTTCAAATTGACATTGAATTGTTTACTTTTTCTTCGAATAAAAATTAATTTATCATTCATAATTATTGTACATTATTATTTTACGCTGCCTATATAGAAAAAGTAAATTTAATATACCAAATAATTATTTCATTGTTACCCAAATTAACTTATGATACATTAATGACCCCTGTATCGATAGCATAATTTACTGTGTTTAAGTCAATTAAAGAAACTGAGATAATATTAAAAAATCTAAATCAATTAATTACTCTAATAATTACTCTATAATTACTCTTAATTACTCTATAAAATTATTAGTTACAAAATTATTAAATTCCACATCTCGTTTGTCTATGCTAACTAATTAGCAGAATTACATATACACTAATTATAAATTCGAAATATCATAACACCAATTTGAGAATTTATCAATTTTGTTATATGTATCAAAATTGCGCGTAACGAAAACTATGTTAGTAATATATACATACGAAGAACATATCATTTATGATAATGATGTGTATTCTTCGTATGTACTACTAATGATACAATGATATACTTGTCATAGGCGAAGGTATCGTTGATGGCAGCGAGACGAGGGGATCTCCAGATACAATTAACATCTCCTCAGGGCACGAAGAGTACTCTTCTTGCCAAGAGACCGCACGATGTTTCGAAGGCCGGCTTCAACCAATGGCCATTTATGTCGGTGCACACGTGGGGAGAAAGACCACACGGAACTTGGAAATTAGAAATTCACAACGAGGGTCGATATTTCGGTGAGTTAATCATACTATATCATATTTTGTTATTGTGTAATCATTGAAGAATGTTAATTAATAATGACGGGTGATTTAATAAGCGATATTAATTGATATAATATTGATTTGAAATTATCTATGTCTTTAATGTCTTTGTTCTTTTTTTGCTAATAATTAAGAGTAACTAATCAAGCACTAAAGTCAGTTAATTAACCATTTATTGTTAGAGCTAACACTGTTAAATCGTCGAAAAATTATTTATTTAATCGAATAATCTGTCGGAAACATAAATAAATAATTATAGTTATTTTTAGCAGTCGAAAAATCTCTCGTCACTCTGTACAAAGTCTTTACATCTCATCCACAGTTTTTCTAATTTATATAAAAGACTTGAAAGACTTCATTGCTTTTATTAGATTTATGCAACATACATATCATGAAAATCATTTACAGTAATCATTAAAATATCAAGTCACAATTTTTCTAGATATAGGAAGATTTTAATAAATAATTTTAATTAAAGAAAAATTAAATTTAATATAAATTCAATTAATTCACATATGTGTCAAGAATTTTATGTTCTCTAATGTTCTTAATGATTCTCTTTAATGATGCCCTAAATGTTTTAAAAAATGTCTTTTAATTATTATTTGAACTATACAAATCATTGTTAGATTCATACGAAAAGTATTATACGCTCGTGCAAAGCATAATCTTAGATTAAAACGTCAGAGACAAGCATCTGGGAGATTATGCCGGCATTAGACTCGGCAATCAGAAATGCCGTTCGCTTATCTAAATTTCAAATAGAACTTCACCTTGTTCGCCGTAACAATAACGTTTCCAAGTGTCCAACCAGTGCCGCCATAAGGTCACGGTTACCGAGTTCTCTGCCAGTTGCAGTCTGCCGGTCGAAAGTGCCGACAAGAAACCAGCTGATTTTGACATCCAGCAACTCTCACATGCAAACGAATAAAATGCATAAGAGAAATCTACTCGTTTTAACGCACGAACGTGAAATCTCTCTTCTCAATTATAGAGATAAATCCCGTCACAAAGGATTAATCCATTCATACGCGTGATATCAGGGTGGAATAGCTTCTACATACCTAGCATTGCATGCACATTCTGCAATGCGATGCCGAGTCGGTCGGCGGGATCCACGGTATTCTCGTAGTTCGTGTCTAGAACGCCACGGGGAGGGCTCTTACGTAAGCCCTATGCGCTCACGCGATTACCTAAGAAGGTGCATTATCCCCGGAGGTAGATAATTGCCGGTTTCGAGCACACAGCAGAGCCCTACTGCAAAAGCACTCCTGCTTTACCCTTAATGGCAGATAACAGAGAAGCTTCGCCGCTCTTGGCCGATCTCGAGTAGGTACAAGCGTTAAAACCACTTCGAACTGCTTCCTTGTCGGCTAATCAAGGTCGATGGCTACATAAATTTCCTTAGGCGCCCTTAAGCTATACGGCATAGAGCTGTAAAGCGCATCCGTTATTGTGTAACGTCGCGAACTGCGTTTTGAGGAGCAAGAGAAACCGCGGGCTATTTCAGTCGCTCCTAAACCATCTCGCTGTTTATATCCTCGCAAATGATACGTCCCTCTAGACGTATTTCAGCATCGCCCGTAAACACAACGTGCTTATACGAATGAGAAAGATCTCCTGAGTATCCCCAGTGATACTATATTCCAGTTTTCTCGTTAAACTCTCTTAAAACGCTTAGGGAACTCGGGTGACGCGTATCGAGCTATCATTCGTTTAACCTGACCAACGTGTCATCAATCTTTTAATTTTCTCGTTTTTGTCGCTCTATGGTCATCTATAAATGTTTAATAATACCAGCGAGCATAACATCGCTTTTATATTTTCCCTTTAATCATGACGTCCGCTTTCTTTCCGCTGCATTCTTGGACGCTTTCCGGATCAGGACGCGCTACTCTGCACGAATGGGCGCTGATCTTCTACGGTACTGCGACGCTGCCCGATCGAACCGAGTACGCTCTTTACAATCCCGCTGGCATGAGCATGCCCAGAAGGCCATTGGTGAAACCACGCGAGACCACTTTTTCGAAGAATCAGAATGCCCCGACGAAGAACAAACAGACGCAGCACAAGTCTGATAAATCTGGCAGCCTGAGCCCGCCTTACGTGGTGAACGCGCAGATTCAGTCTCAGAGGAAGGGCAAGGCTCGTGGTCAGCATAAGAACGGCAAGTCGGCCAGTCGACCAAGCCCCAAGCCTACCGCTCAGACCTTGCGAGGTCTCACCGGGCTGAACAAAGGGCCTAATAACGCGATCGGGGATGTACGTTTGATCACGTCGAGGCCGCGCGGTAGAAGTACACCGAGTCCGATCACCAGCACGGTGACTCAAGTCGTCGCGACGACGAAAACGCAAGCCACGACGACGAATAGGCACAAGATCGTCGATCTGGCAACTGCCTCACCCCTTCAGAGGGGTCTGATCTTGTTGGAGCCGCCGGCGAAAGCGGCCACGAACAAGGTCCCAGCGGTATTTCAGCAATACCCCAAGATCCAGCAGTTATATCCAGTTTACGGCGGAGCTCGCGGAATCGGCCAACAACACGCTACCAGAGCTAAGGGACTCGATCTGCTGCAGGACGAGCAGTTCGATCCGAGGAATTTGCAATTGGACAAGGGTACTTAAATGCCTTCGAAGGAATGGCGCCGATTATTTAACGCGATGGACGATCGGAAGCTAAATTTATTATATTCATGCGTAAAATATTAATCATTTCGATTTAGCCCACTTTAAATGGAGTACGTACAAATTTTAATTCTTCAAAATTAAGTTAAATAAAATTTTAATAAAATTTAATGTGCGCTAAATTAGAACTTTTTATTTTTTATTACGTAATAGTACGACTTAGTAGATTTTACGTTAAAATGAATTTGAAATTTAAATAACTAGATACGAATGCTTGTACATAATTAGGACGTGATAATTTGTACCGCGAAACGCAGAGTTGATGAAACATTTCTGCAAAAAAAAAATGTAGCGTCGTGTACACAGATAATCGCAAACGCGCGCAGTGAGTAATGATGGCAATCTATATACGCTATTGTTGCCCAAGAGCGATATTTTGTAGGGTAACAAAGAGAATCGTTTCGCAGCTTCCGATCGTTTCGCATTCGTTTCCACGTGTCCGCGTTATCGTACAAAGTGCAGAAAGTAGAGATGCAAAAGCCCAAGATTAAACGGATCCGTTGGAATTTGGTTTTCGTATTCAGCCTTTTGTTGGAGTTTCGCTGTTTCGCTGATTGCGACTGTCCCGTGTGTGATCACCATTATTTTCGTTTGTACACGAATATATTATCTCCATAGTTATTAATATGTCGCACTTTAAGCTTTAATTATTTCGCTTATCCACGTTTTATCTTGAGTTCAGAATGTTCCGCGTGGAGTGATCTCTGCATGTTTTAAAAAACGTGACGAGAATTCTGTTTCTTATGTAAATTATTTCTCTTTAGCTGAAAATAAAAGAATTCTCGGTGCTTTTTGCAATATTCCATTTAATCTCTAATATTTTTAAAAAGCGCCGATTACTTTACGCGGAATATGTGTGTATGTGTGTGTGTGTAATATTTTTCTGTAGCTCGTTGAATATAGATGATATTTAATCGTAAGTAAAATTTTATTATTGTTGTTTAATTCTTGTTAGATAATGTTTGAAATAATATTGTTTGTGCTTATTATATCGTGAAAATTATTAAATAGTTAATTTAATCGGCAATTTCTTTAAAAATACATTGCTTTATAATTGAAAAACACGTTACACTTTAAAGTATTTTATTTTTAATTATTATATGAATGGAAGCGAATCTATATATTGTACATTTGCATGAATTTAATATGCACGAATAATTTCAATATTTTTTCATTAAAATTTATTTTATTATCTGTATTTATATTTTGTTTTAATAATTATATATATACATATTTAATAATACATATTTAACTTTCAAAGCCAATAAAACAAAATTATTAATTTTTCATAGGTACTATATAAATATTATTAATTATTTGATATATTATTGTTTTCTTTAATTGTAAGTTATTCATCATCGAAATGTTAAACTTTCAAGAAACCTCGCCTCTCTTTTCTGAGCAAAATATATTATAAATAGAGATTTTGTTTTATTATTTCTTGTTTTTTTTCATGTTGCTTTTTTCTGCTATAATTGAAGTCTCTTATGAAAGCGATAGGTCGATAATAGGAAAACTTATCGAGGCCGGTAATACATGCTATGGCCTTCAATCAAAACTTCCAATGACTTAGTTATCGATGAGTTTCATATGCAGCCCTGAGCGTACGTCAACTATCTAGTGCATTACACGCATATATCGCCGTATATCTATTATCTTTATAGTATAAATCATGGTCTTTCGGAAAATATTGCATTGCATTTTGCATGTTTGTCTTCCACGAAATATATGCGGAAAATTATATAATAATATTTTTAGACACTGTTAGTATTTTATATATCTAATTCTCGTATTATATGTCTAGTTTTTATGTCATTAAAAAAAGTAGAATATTCAAGGAAAATTATATTATATAACTAAATATTTTCTATAGCATTTTAGCGTATAATTCATCTTGTCTTACTATTATTATAATATTTCAAGAAATATTTATCCATGATAGTAATACTTTACTTGAAAATTATCTTTCCCGCAAAGCAGTAGATTTAGCGAAAATTTAGCGAAAATTATCCTTACAATGATGTCCGCTATTATGCATCGCGCTCGTTATCTCTTTTCGGAGTTCTCGAATTTTAGATCATCGCAGAACCGCAAATCGTTCAAAATTCAGTGCAACGCGACGAACGGTAGCGAAAACCGCTAATGCGTGCCGTGAAATGGAAAAGCCGACACGATCGGACGAAGCCCATCATTGGAGATGGAGCAGCTCTCTCGTTCATCATCGTTGCTAAATAATTTCCGCCGTGATTAAAAATTTTTTTCACTCGCTCAACTCGACGATTTCCGCTCTTAAGACATTATTATCGCGGTTCGTCTCTCTCCAATACGCGCGCGCTAATGACCCTTCGAGCACAATGCCCTTACGTTCCATTGTCTTACGGGATAGCCGACCATGCTGCCTCGATCGACTTTTGATATTTTTGTTCCTCTTGTACCGTCTTTCCTCAACTCAGTTTTCTCAACTCGATCGCCGGCGAATTATTTTTTTCCCGATATTTCCCGTCAAATTGACAACCGTTCAATTGTCGCGACGCTTGACACCTTTACAACCGTCTTGCACTCTCTGTAACAAGGATACTTTAACGACGACTTTATTATAGCTGATAGTTTATATGTCAGGACGACGATAAAAAAAATAACACACGCGAGAGTAGTCTCGTCACGAGTCAACGACAAATTGAATTTGTTTTTTTTTTGGCCGCTTTGATTTCTGCTTGCTCATACGCAATCGTCGCTCGTCTCTACTTGTAAAATTCAATTTCTCTCATGAAGTGATTCTATTTAAAACCATATGTAAGTTTTATTTTTTTCTATACTGCTAATAAGGTAAATAAAATAATAATATTAACACAGTTTTTATACAAAAGTTAATCAACTTTTCAAAAAATTTTATTTACTCTTTGATTTAAATAATAAATAATGAAATATTTTGAGACAAAGAGATATAAGAATAACGAATCTTTACTATTTAGAAAACAATGTTCCTATTTTATAATAAATTTTTTTAAATTTATGTTTTGATAATATTAATACAATTTAAAAGTTAATCTATCTCTCAAAATTTAGATTTATTTTTTGAATTAAATAATAAATAATAAAAAATTTTGAGAGAGAGATGTATAAGAATTTTACTATTTGGAAAACAGTATATTCTTCAATATATATATTCTTATTTTAATAAATTCTTTGAATTTCTTTTTTGATTGTGCTACGGTGTATTACAAACCAACTTGGTAATTTTATATCAACTTTTAATAATAAGCTTTAACCAATCGAAAAAACAAGATATTTTTAAAATAACTTTCATTTAATTCTGTCTTGCCCTCAATGCGCGATAGAAACGTACAGATGTACTTTACCTGATTTAAAAACGATATATATATATATATATATATATATATATATATATATATATATATAATCATCGACGAGTTTTTACTATCTTCTCGTTGCAAAGCTCTTTGCATTTTAATTTTTGACATATATATTTCATTGCGTAAACATGCACGAAGAGTCACCCCCGATTACTCGGTTATTTTTAACTCTTATTTAATCAAGAGTCGCAACTTTCTCTCTCTTTCTCTTTTTCCTTTTCTCTCTCTTTGTTCCCACGAGTAAACTTAGGACAAAATTTTCCCCACGGCATCGTAACGCTTTATTAATTTCCCGACGGCGCCGTCGACGTTTTCGCCATCTCTTCCGCTGTTTCGCTCGCGTTTCGTCTACCTTATGAAACCTTCAATTTTACCGTACCTTCACCTGTGCGAAACTCAATATCTTTACATTATACTGGAAGACAAGGTCGCGAAATAGTTTGCGAGAAAGTGAAAAGCATATCTTTCGACAGATATATAGATATATGAATAACGAATGAACTGATGTGAAATGGAAATCGCATCTGCTGGAATAATAGTTATATATGCGCTTCGTGATTATTTATAAATGAATATTCCATAAAATTTATGCTCGCTGCTTAAAAGTCACGTCGTGTGATCTTTATAATATTTTTTGTATTGCATGAAAATAATACGTTTAAACTCCATTCTTCAGAACCTCGTCCATGGAAATGGCTGCGGTATTTAAATGCGTAAAGCTTGCATTTCCATTCTCTGGAACCGCAGTACGTATCATGTAAAATCCATTACGGTTGATTGCAATCGTGTCTGCATGTGTGTATTTAACGTAAAAATAACAGTAGATAGTTATTATTTCATGATTGCTACACGAATAAACGTTATTCTCAACCAACGATAAAATTTTTAGTTTAGTATCTTCAATGCTTGCATTTTTTTTTTTTACATCTTACCATCTCTGTCTACGCATATATATTTTATGTTTTTCGTTGAACTCTATTGCTTAAAAAATGTCACAAACAAAAGACAATACTTATATATTATTATACGGAAAGAAAAATGTCGTAGAGAAAGCAATAAATTAATTTGATTAGGACATTACGAGATTCGCTTCAGTTTCCTTTTCTGGTAGATACACATGTGTTTCCCTCTATTTCTGATTTATGCAATCAAATTTCACGCACAATATCTTCAACGCGATATACTCATTAATAATTATTATCTTTAATCTCGCTAATAAATTCGCCGATGTTGTTTCAGATACACTTGAGGACTGGAAGCTGATATTCTTCGGCACGGAAACCTCGGTGGAGATGGACGACGAGCTGGATAAGGACAAACCGTTACCGCCGGTGGCTCACCCGGACGTGGTTCAGAACAACAATGCAGCCTCGAACAATGTCCGGCACAACGCCGTGGACACTGAGGGCGATCCGTGGACAGGCAGCCAGCAGGTGAACCGGGTCTCCCATCCGGAGGTGCAGAAGCCGACGACGGAGAACCAGACGAGCGGCTGTGCTGCCCTCGAGAACGGGGGCAGCAGGTGCCTAGGTGGGTGCCTCATACTACTCCTTCTAGCCTACCTGACCGGCGTGCCCGACTGGCGGGAGCTGATCATCAGCTGGCCAGCCTCGGCGGACAGTCGGAGCGAGTCGGGCGCGGAACCGGACCGGTTGCTGATCGCGGCGACGAGTAGCGTCGTTTCGACGACGACGACGACGACGTCGTGGACCAGCGACGTGACGATGCAGCGCGTCTCGGCGATAGATCGCTTGCCGGGAGCTTGCCGCGGATGTTCATGATGATAACAGGTCGTGTTCGGTCCTGCGACAGTTCGCGATCTGACCTCATGACTCGAGTCGAATCATCGGGAGACTCGCGAAAGCGACCGTCGACGACGCGTGCCTGATACGTCCTTGTGATCCGTGAGACATTAATATACTTGTGATGCGTGTACGTGAAAGGGAACGAAGAGAAAAAACTCTTATTCCTCCTCTCCCGATTACTGTTATCTCGAGAAGAGATCCGGGAGATTATCAAAGTTGGGTTATCGTCCGTCCTCTATCATTCTAGCGAGGGATGCACTTTAGATGATGGACATTGAGTTCGATGATCCCGTAAACACTCCGTTGTAGCGTTCCTCTCATCAGCAGCATGATTTCTTCGCTGACGCGCATCACTAGGTTTGGCTTTCCAAATTTGTTTGTGTCATGAGAGAAAGTGTGTGAGTCTCTTCTGATTGACACGATATGTTCTGGCTTGCGTGACAACACTCTACTCGAGAGGAACGTCGATGTGGCGGCTTCGATTGATCGAAATTGTTGCGGGGAGGATAGGACCCTCAACAACGCTACGAAACAGGAAATGCGCGATTCTATTTCCAGATGCATGATAAACTCTCGATTTCCTTTCGACGGAATTTATTTCTAGGTTTAAATTTTGACATATAGCTATCTTCCAATTAGGCTTTATTAAAGGAATATTTTTTTTTGATTATATATATGCTTCATCGTATTTTTAAGAGAAGAGTACACAATAATATATATATATATATATGTATATATATATATATATATATATATATATATATATATATATATATGTCGTATCTCAGAGAGAGAAATTTCAACAGAACTAACTATGTGTTGGACAAAAGAAATCTGCGGGAAGCTTTATACAAGACAGCATTGTTGACATAAAATCTCGCGGGAAATTCAACGTTACCAAGTTTGCTCGATGGACGCGAGGTAATGTGATTCTTTGCATGTTGTTCGATTTGTTAACGTCGTTTCTTATGCTATCTTTCATGGCGAACTTTTCCCCCAAAGTAACGCAATATTTCTTTAGTAACGAGCCAAGCAAGATAAATACAGAAGATTCTACATCACAAATATAAAAAGCAACTAAAAAATAAATAAATAATATTTAACATTGCAATAATGACGCGAAAATCGAGAGTTCATCATTTTTCTAAACGAAACCTTTCTGGCTCTATATCGTCACAACAGTTATAGCCGTAACTCTACGGACGTGCTTGTAAATATATGTAAAACGTATTTATTATACTTCGCGGAGTTACGTGCGATCTTCCGAAAAGTTTTGAGAAATGGCGTTTCTGTGGCATCTTCTTCCTCCATGTTGAATGGAGCAGAAATGGGTAAACGACCAATGTTTTGACAAATACATTGTGAAGCTGTTCGATTTTTATACGATAATCCGTATATTAATCGCAAGACCATCATATCCGTCTCTTCAATTGTATTTGTAATTCTATTCGACACGTTACGAGAAATAGCATATTATTATTTTTAATGTCAAAGATGCACAATAGGAGCTTAGTTTTGGTTTTTTTTCACCGATAGTATTTTTATTATCATCTAGTCCCATAATAATTGGAAGCCGCGCATCAATTAAACTTCTTCAAAGAACGAGAACCAGAGTTTCTTAATTTTTTCGAATATTAAGAGGGAGAAAACTTCGCGCGATGATGATATGTGTGATACGACATATATAAATGCGATGTATTTTTGCCCAATTCTGCTCAGTATTTCGGTCAGAGCCGACCATATATAACAATATTTCCGTTTCGCATATATGACTCATCATATGAAGCATTTTGTACGAGACAAAAAATGTGACAGGGAATCATCGCGCAACTGCCATTAGCGAGACCTGCTATGTCCGGTCTCGCATCCTGTCTCTCCTGGAAAAATCGCCTCGCGTAACTTATAGTACACCCGATAGAGTTACAATTCACTTTGGTCATATCATCGATTTTGATCGATGAAGTGGCTCTAACGTGTTCCAGGGAGGCGGAGGGAGACAATTTTTCTCTCGCCTTCTTCCACTTCTTTTTTTTCACCTCTCTCTCTCTCTCTCTCTCTCTTGCATATATTTATATGCATGATAATACGCAATCTTTCTCCTTCTCTCTCTCTCTCTCTCTCTATCTTTTTCTCTTTTCTTCTTCTTGTTTCTGTCAGTCTATGTCCCTTTTCCTCAACATCCGACTATCAGCTTTTCTCTCGCATTCTGTTCTGAACCTTCAACTTTCCTCCACGCTTCATAAGCACTCCGCATCCCTCCAACAGAGTATTCGGTAAGCTATCAGCACTGCCGAAACTACAGAAGCTACAGGGAGGTTCTCCGGCTACCTATGTACACAGTTGGGAACGGAGTACATGAGGCCGCGTGTGGATTTTGGGCGCACGTTAAACTTCGAGGTTTATTAAGATGACATCTAGAAATTTTTACATTGAAGATTAACACGGTCTGTTCTTATATAAAATATTCATGGACATGGCAAACGGTATATAATTTTTTTACAATTTTTAATATAAAATGTAAATTATAAAATTAAATAAAATAATTTAATTAAATGTGAATTAATAATTTAATTAAAATGTAAATGATAAAAATATAGTGAAATTTTGCGAACATATTTGGACAGTAAACAATTAATAAAACATTCTAGTTTATTACTCTTTTTCTCTTTTTTTGTTGAAATATGAAATTTTCTTTCTTTATATAAATATTTTATATTACATACGAAATAAAAATATTTAATTTGTAATGTTTTTTTTTTTGGAGCAAATTGGATCATCGGTTTAATGTCGCTCATTCACATTCGGCCTCGAAGACAGTAATATCAAATTTTCGACATAGAACTTGCTCAAAACATTGTTAACTATAATAATGAAAAACCACGTATGTTGATCCGCAAACGTTCGTAGATAATTAATTGATACGCCCATAATGCTTAGCTAACTGGACGGTTAAAAATGTCGCGACGTTAAACGACCTGATATTTTCTGAACACTTTTTAGATATCATCGTTTTGCTCAGAGGAACATCGATAGACACTGGCGGTTCTATTGCGAGCTTAAAGCTGATCGCGCGCGCTTTGTAAAAATTTCGATTGCGGGGATAAGCAGGAAACTCGATGAGAAAGTTGAAGCTTCGCGGCAAATTGACGGGGCAATTTTTCTTTATCGTGAAACGATCGTCAACGAGTTATCGAGTCGGAAAGAAGTTTTTACCAGCGAGAATGCGAGGATTCGTTTCTAATATTTACGATTTTTATCGTGGTGTGCAGAATCCAATCATGTTTCATCGAAAGTTGCAGGCCACAAATCAGAAGTTAACTGCAAAATCTGCGCACGATAGGGAAAAATCGAATCACAATCAATACAATATGTCTTCTATTACGATTTCAGATGTCGACTTTGAAAAAACAAATCTGATTGAAGCACATGCTGAGTCTAACCAGTAATGTAAAGTTTCAAGGAAAACATTGATTAATAATAAAATTCCTTCGTACTTTATTCCTTTGCTATTGCCTCATTGAGAAAATGAAATATTAATTAAATTAAACTAAATCAATTATAAATTAGCTTTTACCCATATTTTTAAAGCACATATACAATCTCAATTTGATTAACATTTTGCAAAAATTATACATGGCGATTCAATCGATATCCGTATGAAACTTTCGCGGCGCATCGAAATTCTAAAATCCGAACAACTATCTGAAAAAGAGAATATCGAATGGTTGCGAAATTAAATTGACGGTATAGTCGCAATACTAAATGTCTCTTTCGGAATGTCGTGCAAATGAAACGTTTGTGATTTTTCGAGATGCGCTGGTACTCTAACGGATGGCTTTCGAATGCAATCGTGAGCAAAAAAAAAAAAGAAAAAATATTCTCGAATGTATTAATTCCAGGAGATCCGATAATATTATCTCGGTCGAGAGATGCGAAAATCGGTCAAATGTTTTTGCATCGTGTACACTCAATTTCGAAATTAATGCTCGTCACACAGATTTATCTGCTATTGATATAAATAGAAGAAGATAAAAGAAGAATTTTATTAACTTTTATATGACTCGAATAAAATTTTCATTACTATAGTAATATTTTGAAATTGCAGTATAATCAATAATGAAAAAATTTGCGATTAAGAAATTTAATGATATTTATAATTATTCTTCAACTTTTATCTGTATAAATCAAAAGACATTGTTGCTTCGATCTTAAAAAAAGAAACGCTATTTTTCTCTGTGTTTCAGAGATAATTATTCGCGCTGTTTAATTTCTAATTTTCACATTTTATAATTAAAATCGATGCAGTGTATTTCATACATCTCACTTTAAATCAAGATTCAACCTATTTTTAAAGTTCAACTTATCTTTAACGCTACTCTACAAATTTTTGATTGAACTTTATTATCTCTCTATTGTGGAAAAGTAAGGCGAAAACTAATCACTGCCAAAAAGAATATTGCAATTCCATGCTACGATTGAATGAGGAATATCGCTTCGAAATCAGGTTACATTAGGACGTCGACTAAATCCTCGTTCCTTAGGAAATGGAACGCGCCAAGTGCGATCCTAGTGCAATATTTCTCAGTGAATGGAAATATATAGAAAAGATATTTAATATTCTCCAGTTCCCTTTCAGTCGATATTGAGAAAGAAAAAGAGTTGCGACCTACAGTCAATTTTTTTTTATAGAGATTGCACGGTGTACATTTTTTATATAGGATAGGT